ACGGAGCTGGGCAAAGGGAGCCAACAGTCGACAGTCAGGACGAAAGGACGAGCCAGCAATACGATGACGAGGTCGAAATTAATACGAGAAATCACATTAAAACTTCCATTCGAGAGCTCGTGAAAACTGAGTGAGAGTTGGAAAAGGGGGCTGCTGCGGGGGTTGTTGAAGCTTTTTCGGCTGGGTTAAAGACGAAACATATTGTGCGTAGACGCACGAGGAAGAGACAGCAGAAGCAGAAGCAGAAAAAAAACAACAACAACAAAAAATTGAACGAGCACAGAGAAACGCGCGCGCTTCGAGTCAGACGCACAGACAACGTGTTTATGTTTAAGTGTTTGGGGTATACACAGAATGCGAGGGCGGAACACGCACACACACATGCATATATATGTTATATATATACACACATATATAAAGTGGAGCAATTTAGACGGCTTGATGTGTATTGGTGTGCTTTCTTTCTGTGCCTTCAATTTGTGTTTTAGCATTTAGGTGTGTTAGATACACCCACACACATATTTAAATATGTATATGTATATATATATATATATGCTTTTATGATGTCTATACTGTCGCTTATCGGGGAGCTACAACAACAACAACAGTAACAAGAGAGGACAACAGTGAGCTATGTTTGGTAATATCTTCGAAGCGGGCTGATTTTAATGAAGATAGCTTAAGCTGAATGACAGCTAGGGCAGGTCTCTAAGCATATGTGTGTGTGTGTGTGTGTGTGTGTGTGTGTGTGTGTGTGTGTGTGTGTCTGCTAGGCAGCAGGTGAAACGCCGCTGGCTCAACTAAACACTGGACACTGATAGATGACACTGACAAGGAGCAGTCGGCGTAAGCAGCTGAAGCTGATTTTGGCATTGATGAAAGAGAGACGGACCAAATTGGAGCTCTAATGGCAAACAGCTGCACACAGCTGCAATCTATTGACGGCAATCACACTGAATCAAAATAAGATAATTTTAAGGGAACTAAATGTTAGATAATTGAAACAGAAGTTTCCAGATGTCACTCTAATTGAATATAAATGCTGCACATAATAAAAGTATATAACAGTGAGAGAAATTAACTGTAACTAGAAACTGCTATATCGAAACGGAATATTGAAATAATACGAAAAGTATTGTAGACTATTTATTACTTATTATTCAAATACTTTTTACTCCGCCTCGACCTCAGAAACTAGAGGGACAGAGAGACTTTTTTGGTAGGCTCATATATATCACGCACATATCGAGCTTGTTTTCAAAAATCGATAACCACTTCTGTTTTTTGTCATCGATTAAAAATCTTATCGGCTATAGATTAATATCTTCCACATGTTTATAGCAAGAGTATCCAACTTTCAAACATACATAGATTTGTGTAAAATCATTTCTTAGCATCATATCATAGAAGTGCAACTACATTTGCCAAAGGCAAACTTGAATTTAAAATGCTGTAGAAATATTCACGAAATTTGAAGCTGCAATTTGAATCGATATGCCACCAGTAACCTCTTTTTCTGGCAGACAAAAAAAAAAAAAAAAAAAAAAGAGCAAGGAAAATGCTCTGAGGCTTTTCGATGGAATTGTGATTGCGGGAAAATGCGTTAAAGGGAGGAAATATTAATGGGAATATTCGTGGAAGCCCTTGAAACTATGCTGAATGGATGCATCACACTGAAATCGAAATTTAAAAAATATAATAAAAATAAAAATAAAAATGTGAATTTATTGAGCTCTGACAATTTATTGCATTTTTAATTTGCGAATGATAAATATGTATATACAATAAATCAAGTAATTGGCGGAAGAGAAAACACTTTGAAAGGTACGTGAAAAATCACAGGAATTGCAGCTTGATATACTCGTATTCCTTTCTGATTTCATATAAATGTTAATTGATATTATTTAAAAGAACATGTTTTCACAAAAATTTGACATAAAAATCTTGGATATTGAATAATAAATCAATTTCGCATTGGCTCGTGTTGATGTCAGTCGACCTGACCATATATTGAAGACTTGAAATTTGGATAATATTATCATATATAATTCTAGGGTATAGAAACTTTTTTTTAACGTTCTCTATTGATTGCACAAATATATAATATCACCTAAAGCCATGGCAAATCGAAAAATGGATCGCTGGATCTGGCCGTGAATGAGTAATTTGCAGTACGCAACACCCGATTGCAAGGGTTTTACTTGTGTATGCACTTTAAATAAAGCACGAGCTAAAGTAAATATAACATAAATAAAATTCAATGATCATTTTAAATGTGATTTCCATTAAATTCCACAAAAGTTTCGTCAGTTGTGTAAAAGTTCCACAATAGTTTAGGATAAATCCAATTAGACGACAGCAGCAGCAATTTCTCTCTCTCTCTCTCTTTTTAAAACTAGGGGCCGGACCAAATGATTGATGGGAAATCAGAGTGTGTGTGTGTGTGTGTGTACATAACTTGCCAATCAGAGAAACAAACACACACGCAACAAACACATAACAAAAGTTTTCCTTGCCAATGTTTTTTTTTTTTTTTTTTTTTTGACTTTTGCATTTCACCATGAATATAATATTTTTTTTTTTTTTTTTTGACTAAATTGAATGATAAGGCGGCACTTGACGAGTGGGTGTGGTCGGCATAGAAAGTTTCTCACACTGATTGATAGCAGGGCAAAAGTTAATTTCATGTGGAACAGTCTAAAGCCCCACACAGCGGTTTGATGCTCTTCCTGCTGCCTGCTCCCCCGCGGGAGCAGAAGCCACAGAAATGCAATTCAAGTGCAGCGAACATTGAAAATCTGGACACAATGCAAATTGCAATTTAAAGTTGCTCATAATTAAAATTTAATTACCGCAGCGCCAGCCAGAAATGTGAAAGAATGAATAAAGATGAATTTATCTATCAATAAATTGCTATAAATTATTATTAAATTATTCAGTAATTCATAAAATATTACGCATACGACGCGTGAACAGCAGCAGCAAGTGGCAAATAGTTGTTGTTATTCATTCGCTTGGCACTCGGCCAGCTGGCTCGTTAGAGTCAGTTACCACTGTGCCAACAACTGTCAGACACAACAGTTATGAGACAAATAACTGACATGTGAAACGCAGTGGAACATCAAATGCAACTACTTTCGACCTTAAATTGAATAAGCTTTGAGCAAGCATAAAATCCAAATTAAATTCAAAGCTTGAATTCAATTTAATATTTCTGAACTGAATTTAATTGTATTAACGAGTTGTTAAGAATTTAATTACGCTATTTAATGTGCATTTCAAATATGGAATAACTCTTTTCCAAATCACGTTTATTAAGCTTAAAACATTGTTCTTCTATAAAATAAAAATTTAAACAAAATTGATATATTTAAAATTTTTCTTTTTTGTATTTTTTATTTGTTATAAG